TAATAAGAAAGCTGTCAGGATCGCGACTAACCTTTACCTGGCCAAGGTGAAGGCTGCTAAATGATCACACTTCGCTGACCAGATAAGTGAAGCTTCAAAACAGCAGGCGGAACTTTTCCGTATTGTTCGCAATCGATCCGGAATTGGCCTAGGTAATGGGCCTCCTATTAGTATCTCACCTGACCAATTTGCAGCATTTATTAAATCTAAAGTGGAGGCCCTTTGCCGGGATTTCTCTCCTCTTTTAAATACAGTGGATCGAGCAGAGATGTCCAGCACTCTGCCTTGCCCGGTGAGTCTTGAATTTTTTCAGCCTGTGACACCAGATATGGTGGACAAAGTGCTTGATCGCTGCCGGGTCACCACCTCATCCCTTGACCCTTGCCCAGCCCAGCTAATCAAAGCTGCCAGGCCTGTAACAATGGAATGGGCCACTGCGATAATTAATGGGTCTCTCCAGGAGGGCAAGGTTCCTCTTGCCCTCAAGGAAACACTCATTAGGCCCATAAGAAAGAAACCAAATTTGGTGGCGGACAATTTTGGCAATTATAGGCCCGTTGCCAATGTTTCTTTCCTTATTAAAATGGTCGAGAGGGTGGTGGCTGATCAGCTTCAGGCTCTTTTGGATGTAACCAATGCCCTGGATCCATTCCAGTCGAGCTTCAGGCCATGCCACGGCACAGAAACAGCACTGGTCACACTGCTGGATGACCTGTTGAGGGAGGCTGATGGGGCAAAATGTCCTTCTTGGTCCTCCTCGATATCTGAGCCGCCTTCGATACAGTCAACCACAGTATCCTCCTGGGGAGGATCTCTGAGTTGGGAATCAGTGGCCTGGCATTTGTCAGGCTCTGATCCTACTTGGAGGACCGTCCTCAGAGAGTTCAGCTTAGGGAGAGTGTCTCGGCCCCGTGGAATCTCAATTGTGGGGTTCTGCAGGGCTCGATCATCTCCCCAATGCTGTTTAACATCTATATGAGGCCGTCGGGTGGGGTCATCAAGGGGTGTGGAGCTTCCTGCCATCAGTATGCTGATGACACCCAGCTCTACATCTCCTTTTCACCTACTTCAGTGGATGCCGTTCTGTCCCTTCAGCATTGCCTGGAGGCCGTACTGCAATGGATGCAGGAGAATGGGTTGAGGCTGAACCCGGACAAGACGGACAAACAAAGGAATAAGGTTTATTTAAATAACACACAGGGAAAATAAAATGATCAAGTGAATAAGATACAGTAACGTGGCTTAGTCTCAATCATACATACACCAGTTTGGTTCACACAGAACACCTTTAAAGAAAGCACAGACCCTGAACCGATCAGTTCTGGCTAACCATACAGACACCTGAACCTATCAGGTTGGTACTGACTGACACACAGTAGTACCCTGTCTGACACACAGACTCCCACACCAGCTTCTTCTCTCAGCTCTCCTCCAGCTCTTCCTCAGCTCTTCCAGCTTCTCCACACAAACTCCACATATATATACAGTACAGCCCCTCCTCCTGATGTCCCGCCTTCCACTCCCCATAGGATGGAACTTTCCCTCCAACCCATGACAGACAGGTAACATCAGTGCTGTATGTAACAGGGGGTCCCTCACCACTCTGGTCCATGCGCTCCTAATCTCGAGATTAGACCACTGTAATGAGCTCTACGTGGGGCTACCTTTGAGATTGATGCGGAAGCTTCAAATGGTGCAGAATGCGGCAGCCAGATTACTTAGTGGAATGAGAAAATTCCAGCATATCTCTCCCATTCTGGCTGCTCTGCATTGGCTGCCCATTCGTTTCCGGTTTGACTTCAAAGTGTTAATGATGACATACAAAGCCCTAAACGGTTTAGGACCTCGATACTTGGCAGAACTCCTCTCACCTAGATCTACTCAAGTCACTCACCATAGCCAGGAAAAACGGCTGAGGGGCCTGACGCTGAGAGAGGCCCAGAAAGAAAGAAGAAGAAACCGGGCCCTCTTGGAGGTGGCCCCTCAACTTTGGAACAGCTTGCCGCCAGAGATCTGCCTGGCAACCATCGCTGGGTGTTTTCAAGAGCCAGTTAAATACTTGGCTCTTTAGGTAAGCCTTCCCTCCTGCCAATACTTGACTTGTTACTTTTCTTGGTTTTGCTATTTATCCTTCTATCTTGATTATAGTATTACTGTAGATTTTTAATTATTGTTTTAAGTTGCTTGTGCACAATATATTGTAAGCCACCCTGAGTAGACTCCTGTCTAGAAGGGCGGGATAAAAATCCAATAATAAATAAATGAATGAATGAATGAATGAATGAATGAATGAATGAATGTATGAATGAATGAATGAATGAATGAATGTAAAATTTTGTGTGTAAATATAATAGTACCAAGATGCTATCCTGTGGTAAATAATTCCTCTGATTTCTCCAGTGCCTCCTTTGAAATTGAACAAAGGTTATCCTGTTTTGAAGTAGAATGTAGAATTGTAACAAGTGAAAAGAACACCATTTCATTGGCAATACTGAAATCAAATTGATTATATTCTCTGCAGGCAAAGATGGAGAAGCTCTATATCTCCAAATGCATACCATTTACTTCAAATAAAACAGTGTTTAGGATTGAATCACTTAAGGTACCTAAGGAAAGGATAACCTAATGTAAGGATAACCTTACTTATCCTTGTTCTGAGTTCATTAAAATTGGCTTTTTAAAAATCTGGCATACTGTATATGCATGGCTACATTCTGCTATAGTTTCCTTGAAATCAAGAATTCTCGTAGACTCTGAGCATGGTCACTATTGCCCAGAGTTCCCCTTACTGCCACTTGTCCCACCAAATTGTCTCTGCCGGTTAGAATCAAGTCAAGGCTAACTAGTACTCTGGTTTCTTTCTCTACTTTTTTTAGGAGAGAAAATTATTGGCTTCACAAGCCAGGAATATTTTGGAAGGGCCATACTTGGCAGAATTTGCCTCCCAACGGATATCAGGATAACTGCATTGTGTCTCCTTGAAATCCTTGCAGTTTGTTTTTCAAAAGTTTCATCCTCATCCTCTCCTTGATTGGGTGGTTGGTAGTAAACTCCAACTATCATTGTTCTTTACCTCTGTGCTTGTGTCTCCCTCCCCCTTCCAGTTCATTTTAAAGCCCTCCTGATGAAGTTATTTCTGGTGTGGCCAAATCCATTCTCCCCAGTCCTTGTGAGGTACAAACCATCTCTTGCTTGCAGCCCATCTTCCAGGAAGCTTAGCATGTGATCCCAAAAACAAAACAAAAAACTCACTTCAACACCACCTTCGTAGCTGGTCATTTACACAGAGTACTTATAAAATAACAAGTATAATTTGTCAGAAGTTTTGTGAACCACCCACTTCATTAGTTTTTAATCTGCCTCAAGAATCTTTGTTACTCTTTCAAAAAAGGTGAATCATGATTGGAAATACTGTATATGTTGCCTCTGTCCTCACCCAATAATCAGAAACAAGTAACACGGGCCTAGATTCAATTGCCAGTCCCAAATATGGATTCACGCCATACATTTCCATACACAATACCTGGAAAACTATGCAACTGCTTTCAGGTTGCTGTTTTTTCTTTGAAGGATGATTAAAGAATGGCACTTGAAAAACAAATGAAAAGGCTGATAAAGACTAAATATGTATGTCAATACTTTTAGACCATACAGTAGCAACCTACTCTTGTTTGCGAGTTGTTAGACTAAATACAGTAACACTGTATTTAAAGTAACATGAGTGAGGCAAGTGAAACACATACAGATAGCCAGGTGTGATTGGGTATTTTGACATCAGGCTGCAAATGACTGCTTGAAAATTATTCTCCTTTAGGATCTTCCATGCCCAAGTGTAGATTTTATCCCTTCTTATCCTGAAAGGATTCCTTGGAACATAGGCAGGCCTTCCCTCCAACTACTACTTGATTTACTCTTTTTACCTTTTACCTTTTCCATCTTGAATCAGTTTGATTATGATGTCTTATATTATTGTTATAGTTTAAATTGTTTATTTTATATGTTGTACGCCGCTCAAAGTAGTCTATTGACTAGATGGGCGGGATATAAATTCAATAAATAAATAAATATATAAACAAACAATAAGGATGCATTTTTCTTTCTTATCGTGAGCATCCTGAGTGCTGAATTTATAGCCCTGAAGCTCACATGGAGTGAGGGAATTTTTTTTTTTTTAAGTATCTTCCCTTCTTTTACCTAATAGTAGCTTTCCGCAATATATAGGTAAAGGTAAAGGTTCCCGACTCTAGGGGGCAGTGCTCATCCCCGTTTCCAAGCCATACAGCCAGTGTTTGTCCATAGACAGTTTCCGTGGTCACGTGGCCAGCGTGACTAGACACGGAACACCATTACCTTCCCACCAAAGTCGTACCTATTTATCTACTTGCATTTTTACATGCTTTCGAACTGCTAGGTTGGCAGGAGCTGGGACAAGTGACGGGTGCTCACTCCGTCGCATGGATTCGATCTTATGACTGCTTGGTCTTCCAACCGTGCAGCACAGAGGCTTCTGCGGCTTAACCTCCAGCGCCACCACGTCCCATTTTCCCAATATATAGTACTCTCCAAATTCTTTGCAGTATTATTTCCATCACCCCAACCAGCACTGCCACTTGTCAAGGATGGAATAACGTGGTTTCCAATGCAGAAGATTTCAGTAGAGCTGAATCTTCTGTTCTTAACTCTTTTTTTTAATCCTCTGAAGAAAGAAACCACTCTTGATAGAAAAATACCACTTACCCAAATGAAGGTCCTTAGTTTTCTTCTTTCTTACTTTTCAAAGCTATGTTTTGGGCTGCAGCTCCTATAGTGGTGAAAGGAATCAGTTTGCATATGCTATGGCACTCCGGTGCTTTGTTTGCTGGATTAGTGCCAACCTTTCTGGAAGCAAATGGAGAATGGGAATGGACTAAGCTTCTTAAAAGCTCTTATGCCATGAGTTGTGAGAATATGAAATAGTCCAAGTAGAACTGTAATTACCTGGCTGGAAATTAGGATTACCTAATAGGTGAACACCAAGGACAGAAGACTTTCACAACCATTTTCAGAAGTGTATGAATCACTTCTCCCTAAAGAGAAAATGATCTTGGGTGAGAGGTCACTGTAGGTACAAGCAACCACCCCTTTTAGTTGCTGAGGCAGGTCCTCTAGCCTCAGAAGTGCGGAGTCCTTGCTCTATGGACAAGCTCAACCTGAAATAGAGCTTAGTCCTTGCTCTATGGACAAGCTCGACCTGAAATAGAGCTCTTGCCTTCTTAGAAGGCAATAAACCACTGACTGTGCTTCTTTAGACAGCAGAACAGACTGACTAGGTTGGACCTCTCTGTATAGTAGCAATTAGTGACCTTTCCAATCTCCACTGGATTTGGGTGCAATCTTGCAGTTCAAGAGACAAGTCCTCTGTTGAAGAATTGTATTTGTTTTATTAAGAAAATAAGATAGCTCCATTAAAATACAGTTGCAGCTTTAAAAGCATAAGGCATATACATATCCCATCAATTATTATGATTCAAATAAGCTTACTATTCTTATATTAAAACAGGAACAACTAAACTAAGGTAAGCAATCATTTTGACTAGCATTTTACATCTTAGCACACTAGAGAAGCTGGGCTAATCTCTCCCCCTCTTCTCTTTCAAAAGACAAACCTCTCTCTTCCTTCCATTCTCAACATAACAACAACCATCAATCCAAAAACATATCACATACATGAAACAACCATTTTTTCTACACATCTGTGGGCCTCCTTCTTTCTGACACTTTCAAGCTGTCAATCAATTAGGATTATGAGTGTGTAACACAGTCCACCGCCCCTGTTTCACATGAGATCTTGGAGGTGTCTTATCCCAATTAAGAGGAATGTGGTGTTTGGTCTTCCTCTATTCTTCTCAACCTTGCTTCTTATCTTGGTGCTAGGCAGAGGAAACTTGGAACAACAATCCCATGAGACATTCAGTGGCTTAAATCCAAACTACACAGAACCGAACAGATTCCATCTTTGTATGACTACAAGTCCCCTTTGCCTTTTAATTCCTTACAAGATACTTGGCAGATATGCATTGCCCTTGATCTGCAGCATTCCTTCCTCCCAATTCTGTAGAGATATGCATTGCCCTCTGCAGCATTCCTTCCTCCCAATTCTGTACAACAAATCCTTTTAAAATCAAGTAGATTTTTAAAAGCAGTCTCTGACAGAAATAGAGCTATGATGTTGAAATTAGAAAAGTCAGGCAATAGTGCAGCTAGGTTATTTGAGGCCATAGATATAACAGCATGCTAGAAGCAGAGTGAGCTTTGAACAGCTGTCTGGACTCCTTCATTTCTGAAGAACACAAATATTTCTCTTCTTGAAATGGGTCCAGATACTCTGTCTCATTCAGGAACCTCTGGAGATGAGAGGTCCGCTCTAGTACCTTCTCAAAGAATGGGATATTAGATACTGGTCACTAATTCTTCCATATTGTTTAAAAGAGGGCTTTTTAAACAAGGGTCTTACTATTGCCTCTTTTAAGCAAGATGGGATCCTACCCTATTGCAACAGAGGCATTCACCACTCCTCCCACCCAATCAACCAGTCCCTTTTGGCAGCTTTTATAAGCCAGGAAGAGCAAGGATCCTGCAGACACATAGTAGCCCTCACCTCCCTAAGGATCCTGACCACATCATCAGACTGCAGCAACTGAAACTCATCCATTAACATAGGGGAAGCAGGGGGTACAGTTTCGTTCACAGGACCTGAAACAGCTACAGCATCTAAGTCAGAGCAGATCTGAGCAATTTTGCCTGCAAAAGTCTTCTGCAAATTTTCACAGCGAATTTTTCATATACATACTTTATTACAGTTGTTTATCTGAGAACCAAGTATTCCTGCCTGTCAAGCTGTCATCCAGAAACGCTTTATAAAAATGCATTTCTGGTATCAGTTCATTAAAAGCAAGCATATATTTTGACTTTTCTTTTTAATTCTTTTCTATTTTATTTATTATAACTGTTATTGAATGATTATGTACATTTTGTGTTTTATTGTTTTATCTTGTGTTGGAAGCCGCCTAGAGTGGGCCGATGGTCCAGATAGGTAGGATACAAATTAAATAAATAAATAAATATCTCAGGTGTACATGTACACAGAGTGGCAAACAGGTGAATGTGATTTTCAAAATAATCCTGAAAATTATTTCAGGACTGCAAAAAGTAGCAAGTATAGCAGAAAGTTAAAAAGTTAAAAAAATGCTTGTTATGTCATTTTCTTTTTAAAAATTTTATATATATATGGTCCATTAAAGGTATTTACCTAATTTCATAAAAGGTACTTTGTGGTGTCTCTATAAATCATGAATCTATTTAGTCACACTATTCAGCAAAATGAAGATTAAGGAATTGTGATTCCAACAGACATATTAACAATGGTAGTCTGTCTTCAATAGCTGATGTCCTGTGAAGGCTTTACCAACAAATGGACTGGAGATTGTTTGCTGGGTTAGAGGAACAAGAATTACCCAAAGGACTACAACATACATATCTTTGGAGAAACAAGAACACAGCTTTGTTTGTTACAGCAGCAATATCGCTGGCACAGCATGGGCAATGGCTCCAGAACATCAGCAGACCCAAAGAGTGGCATTTTTTTGCACAAAAAATGGGAGAAAGACCTCAATGGCACTTTATCTAACGTGTCTAAAAACATGAGTAATAATATAGCCTAGAATGTTTCAAGACGGACTTACTGTCACAGATCAGTTCTGGATTTGTGGTCACAAAGCGGCGAAGTTGGTGCTACCTCATGGAAACAGTATCTTCTACTGGTAGTGCCAGTACTGAGAATTATCCCAAACTTGCCTGAAGGCCATCTCAGAAATAAAAGGGCAGAGCTGACTCATTTGAATAATATATCAGCAAATGGATCAAGGCATGTTTAGAAACTATGGAGCTGGTACAAATCATATCAATATTCTTAGATTAATTTCGACCCTATTACAGCTGAAACAGGCAGTACTATTAAAACTATCCTTACAGAGTTCATAGAGGTATGCCATTTGGCTTTACAAAATTGGAACTGCTCTCCATTTCTTGTTAGTCAGGGTGGAGTCTGTAACCTAATTTACACTGAGTGTTGCACTCACATAGATAACCAGGCCATAAATATTACTGGTCACCTAAGAAATCTTCATGGGTTAGCAGCAAAACTAGATGACATTAAACATGAAAGGGCCAAGTGACCAGAACTTATGGAGTTGTCTTCCAGGGACTAGATAACTGAGGCAGATTCATCTAATCCTCAATAATAAAAATGTTATTGTTAATCAGACTTGAATGATGTTGTATTTTTCAATTATGCCCTTTATGTTTTTTACATGCACTGGATTTTTTTAAGGCAATGCACGTGAAGACACCAAATGGATGACAATTTCAAGTATGTGAGAGTTTGTTGGAGCCCTGACAATTGCTTTGTGGTTGGGTGAGAAGTGGTTAACTAATGAAAAAAAGAGTATTGCCCACTACTTGAAAAAAAAAGAGTATTGCCCACTACTTGGTGTCTCTTTGTGAGTGATAGGGAGCACAAGAAGGTATCCTATAGACCATTTTGACTGCTGACGTTGGTGTCATGAACATTCAGGCTCCCCTTGGGTATGTAAAGTTCGGTATCCTTTTTCCTGCTGGCAACATGGGCTCAATTTTGCACAGTAATATCTGGTCTTTTCCTGGCATTTTGCATCATAGATACAGAAGCACAATACGCCACATAAACTGGATGTTTTTGAAGAAATGAAATCTTTATAATTCAATGCATGGTATGCTTAGATTAGTTTGGCAGTTCCTAAAATTTTCACTTATTGTTAACTTTGCTTCTATTTTAAAGGTAAAAAAGAATATGCACTTAAGATTCATATTAATAACAGCTGTGCTTTATGGAAACATTCAGGACAATTAGCAATTAACACATTTATACCATAATCCAAAAGAAACCATTTAAAATGTTCTTAAATTATCCTACACCTACTACAGAAGTTCACTACCAAGCTGGAACTGATCATACAATATCACAAAGCAATATACAATAGGAACAGATAGTCTTACCTGAGTGTAAGCCTCATTAGTCTAAGTGAATCTTCATCTCAAATAGACTTGGGTTGCTTTTAAAGGATGGACAGTTCAACAAGTTTTTCCTGTTGTGGGAAACTCTTTGCTTAGTCCTGGCATATTAGCTGGGTTTTGCCTCATCAGTTCCAACATTTCATTATACATGTGCTGAGGGGCATCCAGTCCCCAAATGAAATCTACATGAGCCCATTCTGGAACTGATTTATGGAACACAAGTTTTTTAATCTGAGGAAGTAGTATAGCAACATCGTTTGGATCAGAGAGTAGGTCTTTTCCTCCAGACCAAACTGCTGTTGGCACATTCATATCTTCCACTTTATACAAAGGAGGGGTAAACTAGAAAAATATATATACAATAATAAAAACAATCTGTTAAGCATCACTTGTTTATTAAAACTGAAAATCTTAAGTAAACAGATGCACCCTATTTTGAATTATAATTATCCTTTGTCTCAAGTTTTGGATTGATATTTTCACACATGCCTTCATGTTTACTGATTTGGAGTATCAATTTCATTACTAAACATTTCCCTATTCATAATATTCTCACGACAACATTTCTTCCTTCTTGTCTCCTTTCCATATTGCCCTGATTTCGTCATATACTGTGCTATAACATCCACAGTTTAAATATCATGGACGTCTTGCAAATCTTCCTCTTGTTCACCTTGTTGTCAGTGTTTTGCCTCTAATTTTCTTTGCTCTCCAAACCATTCTTTTCCTATATAGTATTAGTAAATTCTATACAAAGTGCTACTTTCTAGTGCTCTCCCCACTCTATACCAGCTTCTCCAATTTATAGTTAAAAAAAGCCAAAAATATAGAACAAGCATTATCAAAAATTGCCCTTGGACACATCTCTATGGAAAATGAATGGTAAAACCCGGCATAAGGTAGGAATGGCAGCTAGCTTTAAAATGTAGTTCATAAAATGTACCTAAATATTCAGTGCTCAGGCAAGCCTGTCCCTACTTTTTGCAACTGATCAGATCATAAGGTGTTATGCAAACAAACAAAAACAGAGTGAGCAACCCCATCCTGATCTCCTTCATTGATTAAATCTAAACCCCACCCTGTAATTAGTATTCCACGACTAAATCGTCTCTACATTAGGACACAGTATAATGATATGTAGCTAGGGGCAAGAGAATGGAGGACAATGCTGCTCATTATTTCCCCATTGATCCTGAATATCTGGTGACTGAGGAGACCCACTTGGCACCCAGGCCCCACCTCAACCCAGAGGAGGTGCTGGCAGAGGAAGCAGCAGTTCTTCAGCAGAGACATCAGAGGCAAAAAAAAAAAGACTTGGGGGAATATGTTACTATGATACTAAAGGTCCTCCTTAAAGACTGGTAGTTGGTTGGAGTCAGCCACAGACCATAGACTGCACTGGCTTAGTGACAATAATGCAGGCTTGGCTAAACAGTGGACTTGGTGGTGGTGGGGAGACTAATAGAGCTAACGCAATCCCCCCGGCAGACTTCTGGGGGAAGGTGCACCTGCCGCCCATCCAATCCTTGTAGCCCGTTCCCTCGCCATAATAAAGTTGAATGCCAGCAATGACAAAAGTTTTGACTTTGTGGAACCTATAGCTGAGGAGGCCCTCCCCGGTACCACCACCCTGGACAAGGGGGGGTGCATGCACAAGCACCATTCGTCCTGGTGTCATACTCTGACAAAGTGGGTGAGTAAAGTGATATTTCTGTGTGCCATACTCTAGTTTCTTACCCACAGATACAAGCTACATATTGTTAGGTGTGTCTTTGTAGTTAATGTGGCTTTTAGAAATGCATCTATATGTATAGTCATATTGGGGTTCAGTTAGGTGTGTCTTTTGCATTTAATTTGCTGGATAGTAAAAAAATGTAGATGTTGTAATTTTGCAGATAATAAATTGTTGCAATTACAACAGCCACAAGACAGGAATTTAACCCTCTCATAACCCCTTGTGGCCAAGGTGATGACGAGATTTCCACCAGGAACACAGTCAAGTTAGAAAATGTTGATCTCTTTCTACTTTTATAAAGTTGGGTACTATACACCAGTGATTTGTGGGACCAGAGTAAAAAGTGACTGGAGCAGAACCAAACAAGGGCAGAGGTTGTAAAACTGCATAGCACTGTATCTCCCTCACATTTTTCCTAATGAATGTGTTTTTTTTAATGTTATTCAGTTTACACATTTTCCTCCATGGACTAAAGCATGTGTGCACCTTTTTTAAAACTATACACATTTATTGGACTAGATGCCATTCAACTTCCTTTTAAACAGTGAATCTAACATATTCGTGAAGGCTTTCATGGCCAGGATCTAATGGTTGTTGTGGGTTTTTCGGGCTCTTTGGCCGTGTTCTGAAGGTTGTTCTTCCTAATGTTTTGCCAGTCTCTGTGGACGGCATCTTCAGAGGACAGCACTCTGTGCTCTGGTGTAGTTTGCTTGGGAGTTGAGTACTCTGAAGATGCCGTCCACAGAGACTGGCAAAACGTTAGGAAGAACAACCTTCAGAACATGGCCAAAGAGCCCGAAAAACCCACAACAACCAATGAATCTAACATTTGAATTTTAGTCCCACAACTTTTGTGCCCATGGAGAGTGATCTTTACTTGCTATTGGGCCCCTCATTGTTCTGCTCTTCTCTTCTCCATTCTCAATTCTAGGCAACACAGGCTGCACAAAAGATAAGAAGTAAAGAAAGAGCCCAGTCAAGCATTCCTGGCCCCACCCTGTTGGCAAATAAGTAGTGAAAGTAACTGTGTGGTAAATTATGGATTTTTCTTCTTCCTAGAAACAAGATCAAAGAGCAATCAAGTGCACTCAGAACCAGACACACACTTCACAGGCCAAAAAAGACCATTTGGAATTCAGGTTTCTCTTTAAGAGGAAATGTATCATAGAAACTGGTCCTCTGTGGCAAGAGGTTCTTTTCTAATTTCAGCTAGTATTTCTATCAATGAACCCCCCACCTACCACCACCTCTCTACCTCTTTTTCCAAACATTGTGCTTTTCAATAAATACAGACTTCCCTACCTGATTATGCTTTTCCTTATTCTTGATCTCATCACCCCAATCAAAACCTTTGAATAGTGCACAATGAAAAACCTAATAGGAAAGACAAGAAATGTATTATTACACTGCTAGGACTCTTTCTTTCATTAAACCCAGCTTGAACATCAGTAGAACTATATCTTGTACCTATAGGAGAGCAAATCTGGATTTATATCTTTGTATCTTGTATCTATGCTCCTAATGGATGAAATTCTGCCTTATCTAGGTGTACATTCCAATGAACTTGATGAAGTTACTGTACTTCTTAGCAGGCATGTACTGTATAGGGGTTGTATACATGTCACTGTAAAAGTCTCAACTGGTTGTGTTTTTTTTTTAAACTTGGCATTGGAGAGAGAGACTGCTTGGTGGGGGTGGGTCATTTGCAATTAGGATTTGTTCAGAGTAAATACAGCAGTGTTGGACAAATGGAATTTGTTTAGAGAAAAATCCTGTCATGTTTCTAGTTAAGGATTACTTATCTGTTTCTCTTGAAAAGTGCTGATCCTTTGTCTCAGCTGATTCCTAAACACAGTGGAAAAAGTCTACCGAAGACAGCTCAGGTTGCAGTCTGCGACTTTGTTCTGCTTGTCCAATGTAATATTGTGAAGGGGCGTAGCTTTGTGGATACCGTGGACCACCAGAAAAATAAACAAGTGGGTCCTGGACCAAATCAAGCCTGAACTTTCTCTGGAGACAACCATGATGAGACTGAGGCTGCCATACTGTGGGCACACCATATGAAGGCAAGATGCATTAGAAAAAACAATAGTGCTGGGAAAGGTTGAAGGCGGCAGGAAAAGAGGAAGATCAAATATGTGATGCATTTGCAAAATTTGTCACAGCCAACTATGCCTAAATGACATGGAGATCAGATGAATCTCAGTTATGCAATCATTCACATGACTAGGCATATGACTGAAACACACCCCAGCTTCTTGTCAATTAATTAGGATTAGCTTGCGCAAATTAAATATACACCAATAGGATTTCAGCGAATGATAGTGTAATACAAATATACCTGGCTCCAATGCAGTATATTCTGAGCAGATGTTCCAGCTGGTGTTCGTGCAATATATACATGTACTCGGCTCTGAAAAAAAGATGGAAGGAAGACCCAGTTCCTTTGTAACAATGCATTGTTCTCAACATGAGTAAAAGGACTAGTGTTACAGAAAATATTTAAGAGTTAATATTTTGCTGAAGGAAGTCAGCCCTGGTATATTGAATAAATGGGATTGCACCATCACTAGGCATAAACTGGTGCTTACAGCACTTATAAACAAGTAATTCACTCCATCTTGAGAACAAGTCTACATTACAGATCTCATGACCACAATATTGGGCCTAGGTTTTTTGATATTTTTCTTTCTTTCCCATCTCATGTTTATTGTATCTCCAAGTCTGGTTGAGAATTCTGGAGAACTTAGAAAGTAGCATACTCTTCTATGGCATGTCGATTTATAATAGAAGTAATGTGAACTGGTAAATTTTGGATTTTGTCTTGTATATACCAGAACCCTAATGTACCCTGGATTTAATGCCAGAAGATTTCAGCAAATAACTTCGGCCTCAGCATTAAAAACAGATCTTGTATCTTGCCAAAAAATACAATGAAACTATGGCCTCAGTAACACTATATATTAACAAACACTTTTGAGCAAGTTGCATCGGGAGTTTCAGCTGAAACCACGTTTATTGCTTTAATCATAGTGTACTGAACACCTTTTCTCCACTTCATCACTTACTAAAAGAAGAAGGCTGAATCGTTCAATATATTCGCAAAGGCTTTCACGGCCGGGATCTAATGGTTGTTCTGGGTTTTTCGGGCTCTTAGAGCCCGAAAAACCCAGAACAACCACAAGAAGGCTGAATATTATAGTGTAAATGGAATGCAAGTACTGGTTGTACAATCGAAAGAAATGTCTGACTATCACTAGACGAGTAGCAAAGAGACATATACTACCTTCTTTTTTAAAAAAATCATCACTCTCTTTCTATTACTTTGGCAAATGACTCTTGCAAAGCTTTTTTTTTTCATTTAAATCTCCACTAAAATGCAGAAAAACGATGTAGCCATGCAAACTGGATGATGGGGGGGGGGGACACAGTGTTGCCCATACTATCCCTATCCCCGGTGTCCCCTCATGTCCTGACATGCCTCCCCTCTCTGTGACTGACACATGGAAATTCTGAGAGTTATACTTCAGAAAGCAACATTTCCATATTCATAATCTATTGGATGTTCTTGTTTGTGAAATGAAACGGGCAGTGATTTTAGATTGTTCTCCTATTCTCCTCTATCCCCAACAGCTGCACCATTTTTCTCAGCAAGATTGTGGGACCCACTGAAACCCCTGCTTTGGAGGTGGTGAGGGGGATGCATGTGGCAATTTGCTGAAAACTGCATCCTTGTTCCCAGGATGGAATCCCTCCCTGGATCAAAGAGCTTTCTGTCAGCCAAGGGGCACTAATGAGATGAAATAGGGGATTCTGGAAAACTTTCAGTTGAAATCTCGCTGCTATATTCTTTACATCTATCTCCAGAGATAGAAACCTTCTCGTTTCAGTTATGGAAATAGTTCTATGAAGAACAACAATGGAAATTAAACTTGAATTGACTCATGCTTCAAATGTCTATTGTTAGTTGCTGCTAATAACAGTATACAATTAACCTATTTTCTTTGTTTTGTTTTTGTCCTATAGTGGCTGACTTACAGTCATCACAATAATTGATTGATTGATTGATTGATACCATATATGCATGAATCAATCAATCAATTATTGTGATAACTGTAAGTCAGCCACTATAAGACCAAAACAAAACAAAGAAAATAGGTTAATTGTGTGTGTGTGTGTATGTATATACTGTATATATATATATATTCCTCTTCACTCTTTATAAGCAAAATGAAGAGAAGTCCCTGATACAGATCTTTATAAAAATAAGTTCTCCTTCCTGTGAAAATCTAAATACTTTTCCAGACCAGCAAAGATTCTTTCCCCTCCTTTTTCCCTCCCAGCTTTTATGATTGTGCTGGAAAACCTCCTTCCCATTTTCAGCACAAAATTACTGGGAATGCTCACTAGGTAATTTCTGCGAGTTGCAGTAACTTTCTCAAGTTCTTAAAAGGTCTCATAAAGTTTCAGCTTGCCTAGAAAGAAAAAAATGTGGACCAGCACAAGCAGAATTTCTGAATGTTCCTGGAAGTTGTGGTCCATCTTCTGTTAAGAACTCTTGGCCTTCCCTAGTATCCTGGCATATGGTAATTTCATGGATTATTAGTGGCAAGAGCAATCAATTACGTACTACAGTGGTGCCTTGCTAGACAATTGCCTCGCGGGGTGAAAAATCCGCAAGACAATTGGTTTTTGCGATCACTATGGTGCCTCGCAAGACTTTTTTTCTATGAGCGTGCTTCGAAGACTTTTTTTTAGACCGATGCATAGGGAACCTCGCAAGACGATTTTTTTCACAAGAAGACGATTTTTGCGGAATGAATTAAAATCGTCTTGCGAGGCACCACTATACTTGAGAAATCTTGTCAATTATCTTATGTGGTCAAATGAACACCAGAGGGTGGGGTTCATTAATTCATTTCATGAATTAATTTCTGTGTTCCAAAAAATTAGAAGAAAATAATAGGGATTTCCAGTTTGTGTAACAGTGGTATACATTCACTCATAAATCAATATTATCTCATTTCTACATTGATCTGTGACTCTATAAAAAGAATCTGCAAAAAATATTGGTTTTGAACTAATTTTCTCTTAAAATATAAACTTCCGGATTATTTCCTCTCAAAAACTCAACCAAATTAAAAGCATTTTTTTCCACATAGGTCTCAGATGCAAATTATTTAAAATGTTCAGATGGAGAACTATATTCCATTCTGTGATTATGAAAGCCAATGTAGTGTAGTAGTTACAGTGCTGGACTGTTATTCAGGAGATCAAAGTTTAAATCCCTATTTGGTCATGAAACTTATCAGTGGAGCATGTGCCAATCACACTCTGTGAGCTTGATCTACCTCTGCTTACAGGGCTGTGTGATGTCCACCCTCGTGCCCCTTTTACTTGACCTTCAAGCCTCAGAGCATACGAAGGCAAACACTCTCCTCTTTAACACTGTTGCCACCAGGCGATCCCAAAATCACCATTACCTCAGAAAGATTCAGGTCCACACTTCAAGTTCCTTTAAATAAAACTTTGGTTTATTAATTACAGAGAATATCTTCAGTAACTAATCACACTTCAGAATTCTCCGAACTCCACACTCTATTTTTCTATCTGATTCTTACTCTTGTGCTTACTGACTCAATCTCACTTAATCTGCTTCTCCTGACTTTCTGACTCTGCCTCTTATAGCATCTCTCTTGGCTCCAACTCTCAGCAACATGAATATTCATAAACCATTACAGTACATAACAAATCTGAACCATTACATAATATAACATGAACCATAGACCTAATAAATGGGGAACGCTAAAGGCTATTATGAGGATAAAGTGGGGAGGAGAAGAAACACCACCCATGTTGTCTTGAGCTCACTGGGGGAAATGCTCACTGGATTGGAGCCAGAGGTTGGGAGTTCAATTCCCCACTATGCCTCCTTGAGAGGGGCTGGATTATATCTATATCTATATTATTTATATTATATCTTCAGCTGATTATATCTACAGATCTGTAGGATATTTTAAAACTTAAAAATAAAAAGAAGTTTTAAAACTTTCATGAAAGAAACTTGGATCTTAGCCCCTCAATTACAAAAATATATTAGTTCACATCTAAACTACTAATTTAAAATATTTATTGTCTTAAGGGGCTAAATTACATTTAGAATCATGGTTTGTTTACAGTCGTCTCCTCCATTAAGGTTATCACAAAACTGTTCAGCTATTTGAACCATTAGCAATGCTCTCTTGTAGACGTGATAAGAGGAACCTCAACAAATATGAGTAACTCCTATTTATATGAGGCATGTACACATGAAAGGCTGCTACAGTGAAAGCGGGATCTTGAGGCTAGTATAAATCAGTTTAAAACTGGAGTTTGTAATTTGTACCCAATTTCATTTTGACTGATGATTCATTAATTTTACCTCTTTTAAAATTTAATGGCAAAATCATGTCCATCTTTTTTTATTCTGAAAATTGCCATGATATAAGGGTTCCAAGGAATACATAGGAACTCAATACTTACCATATTTATGTTTTCTATATTATACCCACTGAGAAGGAAAAAAACATTTCCACAAATACTAGTAAGAAGTTGCCGGCTACAGAAGACAGAAATAATTTTTTTGAAATATCTATTGTGAGGAAAGAATTCTTTTTTGCCAAGCAAACCCTGTAAAATACAAAACAAATTATCAGCTGTAGAAACTGGATGTTGCCCTTGTTTTCCCCTATCTTCTACAAAGCAGATCTGTAAAAGTCCTCTATTGTACTTTTCCTGAATGTTCTCACTAATCTATGAACAGTTGCTGTTAAATGCTAAATTATGTGTTGTTAAGTTGCTTCTGACATATAAAAATCCTAACAGAGTTTCTGAGGCATGGAATATGTTCAGCGTGGTTTACTATTGCCAACAATATGTTTCTATGGCTAAGGGAGAATTTGAACCCAGGTCTCCTGAGTCCTAGTCTGACACTCTTATCTACTACAGCTCAGTAGTAGTAGTAGTAGTAGTAGATAAGCTAAGGGTATGAAAACAATTCTCTGTTTTAATTTCACTGTGTACAGAGGTGGGTATTATTTGTTTTTACAGACTGGAGGGTATCATAAATGAAAAAACAGGAGTTACCTGAGGCTAACTTGGGAATTCATGACTTGAGGTGAGATATGATTTAATTTGGAATCTTCTGGAGTGAAACAGTAAATTACAAACAGTATCTATTCACTGAGTGAATCCTTCAGATTCTTCTTCATAGGCTCTTTTTAAAAAAAAACCTCTCTCAGAGTCTATGGACGTCCTTGCCACTATATCACAAGTCTCCTCAGTCAGGCTGCTACCAATGTTCTAAAGTTTGCCAGTGGCATAGCATTCTATGTTTGAGGTGAGATGAATTAGTAACTAAATTATTAATCTGAATCAGTTACTTGTTGTTGTTTAGTCATTAAGTTGTGTCCGACTCTTCATGACCCCATGGACCAGGGCATGTCTTCCACTGCCTCCCGGAGTTGGGTCAAATTCATTTCAGTCGCTTTGGTGACACTGTCCAACCATCTCATCCTCTGTCGTCCCCTTCTCCTCTTGCCTTCACACTTTCCCAACAGCAGGGTCTTTTCCAGGTAGTCTTCTCTTCTCGTGAGATGGGCAAAGTATTGGAGCCTCGGCTTCAGGATCTGTCCTTCCAGAGAGCACTCAGGGTTGATTTCCTTCAGAACGGATAGGTTTGATCTCCCTGCAGTCCAGGGGACTCTCAAGAGTCTCCTCCAGCACCAGAATTCAAAAGCATCAATTCTTCAGTGGTCAGCCTTCTTTATGGTCCAGCTCTCACTTCCATACATCACGACTGGAATAACCATAGCTTTGACTATGACCTTTGTCAGCAAGGTGATGTCTCTGCTTCTTAAGATGCTGTCTTGGTTTGTCATCGCTTTCCTCCCAGGAAGCAGGCGTCTTTTAAGTCTGTGCTCTGGTCCATGGGGTCACAAAGAATAGGACACTACTTAACAACTAAACGACAACAAAATTCAGATGAACTCTTAGTAAATTTTAATTATTAGACTTATAAGAAAAAATAGCACAAATGTCCTGTCTCTGTGCAAAATCAGTGCCTTTTTTGTTTTGAAGCAAACACATGTGAGTACTGAACAAGTACAGAAGAACCGGATGACTGATCACAAAATTATTTTAAAAAACCCACACAACACTGTTCACTGCTACTGCTTTTTCTTAGTTTATGAAGCAAAGTAACAGTTACCACAGTTTTAAATTTTGTCCATGTTCAGAAATGCACAAAAGTCATTCTCAAATCTTTCTGAGACTGATGGGGAAAAAACCCCACGATCTTATGTGAAGAGGAAAGAAACTTGCATGTTGTCGCTTCCCACACATGGATGGGACAAATCAGTATTAGATCCCCAATCTGATGGAACAAGTATTTGAAAGAAGAAACAGAACATACCCTGAGGAGTCTATCTGGAAGGCTAAGAAGTTTTATTGCAGGGCTTCTGGCATACTTAATTCTAGTCACAGGAGCTAAGGCAAAAAACAATTTGATCCTTTGAGCTAGCTCTGGCATTGTTGAAAATGCTATGAATGCTGGAAGGAGGAAAATCAAAGCAACAAAAGAAGTTAAACATGGTAAATAAACCTGACCACGAGCCTTGTCTCCCTCAAACGTCTAGCTTACACAGCCATAATGTCTGACAAATATAACTAGGTCAACATATGATTTTTAGGAAAGTCATTTGCACCCATATAGACTTCCCTCATTCAGCGTACCCATAAAATCTTTAATTTCTATTAGTTTTATGAAGATGCTAGTGCTGCAAAGAAACATCTTTTCAGAAACTTTGTTGAATCTTTATGAACATAAAAGTATTCTTTTTATCACTCCTGGCTGACACAGACTTTCTATACACTAGATGCTCCATTAATTTCAAATGTTCAAGTAAATAACTAATTTTTTTTGGTTTGTACTGATACTGCCCATCTTATACTTGTCTTTCTTCAACCCTCCCTTGCAACACTGGGCCACCAGAAAGTCAATTTTGCTGAAGGACAGACATTTTAGGAGGATTGAAGAGTGGCTTTGCAGCCAACAGAACATATAGAGAACTAAGGATAGATTTTGAACCAGTACAAATGCCTCTTTTCATCACCTAATCACCATTACAGCTATGCAAAAGCTGCCAGGGAGACCTGCAGCCCAGAGGCTGGCCCTCAGTATAAACATCCAGCTCTCTGAGATCCATGGGCCTAGCAGGCACTTGCATCAAGGAGAAATATTCAAGGCAGCAGCACAGCCTCGTATGTAGGGTTGCCAGATGTCAGGCAAAAGGAGGACATGTCCTCCTTTTTTAGCCTAATGTCCTCCGTCAGGCAGGCAAAGATAAAAATCTTTAAAATGTCAGGCTTTTGTATATTTTATATTATAATTTTGGATGGGAGGGGGAGAGGTGGAAGGACCCCCTTCCCCTAGCTTTCCCCACCCCCACCTGCCTGCCTACTCCCGATATTTTGAAAAGAAGCCTCCATTGAATTTATTTTTATTTTTTAACATGACTGTTTCTTGGTTGGTTCATTAAAAGACATTTATTGGCAACTATTGTAATAAAATTGTATTGATTGTGGGTTTAATCTGGAATGATTCAAATGAAACATTCAATATGTCCTCCTTTGTCCTCCTTTTTGTCTTTCTATGTCCTCCTTTTAGTACCTGTGTATCTGCTGTTCCTCATATGAGTCATATGAGGAACAGCAAAGGCAGTGGGAGACGTGAGGTGTGAATGTAGGGTAACCAGAATATTGAAAGGCCTGCGGTGAGTGTTCCATGACCTCCCTAAGTGCTTCTTCTTGTTGATGATGATGCAGTCCTCAGAAAAGCTACCTGAAAAAGGCTCATGAGGAGACTTAATATGATTTCCCCCACTCTGTAAAAATCCAAACTACCGGGGCTGTTACTCTGAAAGCTATTTCTGAGGGAAGGGGACTATCTCCCGGGTCCAGCCTAAATGGGCACTGCTGCTGGATGTTTGACAGAAGTAGGGATGGCCCAAAGGGTCAGAACTGAAGATCTCTTCTTTGTGTTATAGAAACAATAATGCTTTGTACTCTAGGAGTGCCCCTGGTATGATGACAGGGTATAGTGTGAAAGAGATCAAAGCATGTGGCAGTGGGGGAGAGAGGGCATCTGGAATGCCAAACAAGATTTTTGGGTTGGACAAATCCATTCAATGAATTAATGTCAAGTAAAGAACTTGCTACACTGCAGTGTTCTAGAATCTGACCCTTACTGATCTTTACGTATATATTAGGACAAGCAAAGTATGAAGTGTATTGTTACCATGGTTTCACATTAAGGTTATGATTTTAACATTTTAATTGAAGTCTACATTTATTGGATGAGTTGTTACTGCATGCTTAGAAATTAAAGTAGAGAAATACATGTTACATATACTTGGGAAATTTTATGGAGGAGAAAGCAATAGGAATCCAGTTCTCCTAAGAGATGACTTCAAATAACTTGATGTAAAGTCTGCTCCCATGGGTCCCATCTTTTTTCTAACCTGCCATTGGTTCAAATGTCAAGCTCTCCTCAGCTCTGAATCACAGACAATTGGAGAAAGATATAGGAGGAAAGTAGCCAATACTATATCCAGAGTTCAATGCTAAGACCATAACTAGACCCTTATAGAATCTTCCATTTTCTCTCACATTTTCTTTACTCCTCTTGGATATTCCATTAATGGTGACTAACCAAGAGGATGAGAATAAGCATCTTTTTATTAAGGATTGTGAGCTAACTACTTAGAGTTACTCAAAATAGCTTACCTATTGCAGCACCCTGTGAATAGCCAACATAGTATAACTGCTGTTGTCCAGTTTTCTGCAGAATGAAGTTGAGCATAGCTGGAAGATCATACTTGGCCATCTCATCAAAACTACAGAAGGAAGGAACACTCAATGATGACCAGTTTAATGTTTATTGTATGAAACATATCATATAGGAAAGTCTATATGAAAGTGCACTAAAATGGTACAGGTGTATTTCACTATAAACTTGTGTGTGGAGGCACGGAACTTGGGGCTTCTGTCTCAAAACAGTCCCAAACTGGAAAATTGGTTTGCAGGAAACATGAAACTGAGAGCAAGGTAGTGGTTTATAGTTATCTATAAAATACTGTACTGTAAAGACATCCTGAATCAATTATTTGGAACTGTAGCATTTTTGTGGCATGGAAGAATCTGCTTGTATTTCTCAGTCTATTTTCACACACATTGCATGCTCTTCTTGCTGAATGGAAATCTCAAACTGTAACAAAGTAGTAGCAAGATAATCTTTTCTAGGATGGGGTACTCAGGGATGTGGACTCCATAAGAATGTCTGGAAAGGCCACAACATTTTCCCACAATGCCTCATTTCAAATTCCAGATGCACTGCATTGGGAAGGAGATCCCACACAGAAAGGTCTTTCCTTCTGCCACCAAAGAGTACCAGCTATCAAATAAATAGAGAGATGGGAAGGAGGAGTCATTTACTAGCTCAGATTATAGTCTAAGATAGATAAGTAGAGAACATATTATAAGAATGTCAAATTAGCTTTCTAAACTGGGTCACTGTAGCTATCATTTCTTTCCATGAGACTTGAATTTAGTGATTCTTCAAAACAAAGGGATGGGGGGAAATACTTTTCAGACTATGTTCAGTGAGAATCAGGGAGATAAAAGATGTACACATTAAAAAAAAACAGCTAGAGTTAGTTTGCTGCTTAGACTAATTTTCTGATTTTGAATGTACATTATACCCTAATGCATTCAACTGCCTGTAATATGGTTAAATGTACCTGAAAGACCAAAATTCTTCTTGGCTTGCAGATAGGTTTTTGTGACTCCTGGACCAGGTGTTTCCTCTGCTGTTTCCAATCCAAACATCATAGCCAGCATCTGCCAGGATGAAGCCCAAACTGTTGTGGGCCATGTTTGTAACCCAGTGGCTTCCATCTCCCAGCAAGCCGTGCTGCAGAAATACCACCGGTCTTAAAACTGGAGAAGAGAATGTTTTCCGTTGTAATAAAGATCATGTCAAGTTGCTGAAATGTAGCTAGACCTGTATGTAATCCACACTCAAGACAAATCATAAAAGAAAGGAGATGAGGAAGAAATCTGAGCCAAGCTAATTTAAATGTTAAAAATTCATTGTTTTTTTTTAAAAATGGAAATAGTACAAGATTTTTGATGTGAACATGTGATCTCACTGGGAGATATTTAAATTCACATTTTGACTGGTTATTTAAATCTGTGGAGAGGGCAATATGTGACCTGTGAACTGCAGGTGACTCCTGGGGAGCACTTTTTTGAGGCACCCCCAGACCCCCACAAGTCTTTCCTGATAGGGGAAGAAAATGTGCTTTTTTGCCCCAAAACTTCATTTTCTATTTCTGGAAATCTCCTCATCTTCCACATATCTGAAAAACAAAGCTAGATGTGGATGTCCAGTACTTCCTGATTTAATTGGGGAAAGGGAGGGCTTTGCATTTTTTGGGTGGTACAGTTCATAGTGTGTCCTGCAGCAGAAATCTGGCCCTGGATCCTGAGACATACATGTCCAGGCCTTTGTAAATTAATGGATCTAAAGATTTCAACCCTGTGCCCATTTACTTGAAAGTAATTCTTACTGAACTTACTTCTGAGTAAAGTGGAAAAAACACTCTTTAAATGTCCCACTTATCTTGAAAACCTTGTTTGGATCACCGTAGGTTGGGCACCACATTTTTTAAAAAAGTAGACATGTAGAATTGCACTGTAACACCCTTCAAATCTATTATACCTTTAATTCATGTACTAGTATAAAATATTTTGTAATTTAGGTTATGAAGTTCCCCATCCCACCTACAATCCAAGCCCTGAATTTCCAAGCTTGTCACATTGCAAGGAAGATCACTGCTCTGCTGAGGATATGGCAAAGTTACAAGAACATTAAAACTTCATTTAATTTGCATTTATAACCGATCACTGGCAAATGTAATTTGGACAGCTCCTATTACTACAAAATTATTCTCTTCAATTGTTTCCCACGTCCAGCTAGCCTTCTGGCCTTCCCCTATGAAGAGCCAGTGCCCTGCAATGTTTTGAGCGCTTCAAATCCTGTTTCAAATGTATCTCTATTTGTATCTCCCCAGCAACCCCTTCTGTCCTTTCCTTCTTCTGTTTTCACTTTAGGGAAAGTTAATAATGAACCATAGAACTCACTTTCAGAAACATTTGCTGAGTGCCTTTAGCCAAGAAAAGTGATGAGAAGCCGGAGCAAGAAAGGGGAAGGGAGTAAATAAAAAGGGCAAAGACAGTGTCCCCTTTGGTCAGTCCCTTCCTATGCCAATAGGAAGCAGCAGGCAAACAATTAAATCTCCCACAACACCCTGCTGTGACACTAGCTCATGCAAGTAAGGTAAGTGCCAGGGTGCCTTGCCTACAAAGTAGGGCCAGGCAGGCTCCCACCTGTGGCATCCTCAGGTCCTTGGCCCCTAATAATCCCCCAAATGGGAAACTACACTCTTATCTCTAGAGCAGTGGTATCCAACCTTGGCCCTTCAGATGTTCTTAGATCTACAAATTTGTGCCAGACGGGCTCCTGCCTGTAGCATTCCGAGGTCCTTGACCCCTAATAATCCCCCAACTGGGAAACTGTTCTCTTATCTCTAGATGATGTGATTTGCCCTCTAGATGTTACTCCTTCTATGCCTTTGTTGGCTGGAAAAGGCTTTGTCCAGAAACCAGAAGATGCCAGAGGGAAAAGCTATCAACAAAGTTCAAGGAGAAGCCAAAAATGGCCACTGGAGCTTCAGAAGCTGTCCACTCCTGACCTAGAGTGATCAACTTCACCTGCATTTGTTCAGTGAAGTGGGCTTACCTTGCAGTGGCAGAATGTGCTCTGTTCCTATGTGCCTTCTTTTTGCAATGAAAACATTTACCTGACTTGTCCTTCCATGATAAAAAATAAAACTCAGTGGGAGCTACCACAAGATGTCAACGAATTTTTGCCCTCTGAGAAAACTGAGTTTTCAGAAGTAGTTTTTGTGCTCTTCTTCAAATTATGCAATATTGTAAAATGCAACCACTACTGCCTTGTTGCATGAACTAGGGTTGATGGGTTGTCTGTGGCTTTATGATCCATCAGCCAGTACTGTTGCACTTGCTATGTCTGTGTGTGCGCACTTAGCATTATAAGGAAAAAGGCACTTGTTTTTGCAAACAATCAGGAGTTTTGCACAAATTGCAAATATTGTGATGCAGGGGAAATGTGTCTCAGATTTATTCCAGACCTGAGATCTGTTGATGGGCTAACAAAATGCTGCAAAATAGTCCATCATGCCTATAACTATTATTTTTTCAGGTCTCTCTCTACTTTATATCATATTTCCTTACTTTGTAGCATTTTTATTAGGCAGATTAAAAATACCTGTATTTCCCTGGTTCTTAACTCCAAAGGGTATTCTGTTTATGCTAAGTATATAGCCATCTTCTGTTACCACTTTATGCTCCTCGCTGGGATAACCTTTGTGGGTAATAAGTTCATGCTGTAATGGAAAAAAAGTGTTGTTAGTTTTTCCTTTGTTTGTAACATATTTAGATTCTGAAGTGGTATATCAAATGTGTCAGAAACACAGTACAGAATACCAAAGTACAAAAATGTACATCTGTAATAAAGTGATAGCAAGTTGAGATTTTGGAAGAACAATATTACATGCATAGTACACAGTCATACAGATGTTCTATATTTCCTCCTGTAACTTTTCAGGGACATGTGCATAAAGACAATTCAAAACTTTATTCTAATGGCTACTTCTAGGATACCCTGTGGTCTGAGCAGGGGGTGGATAGCACAATATTTTTTGACTTGGCATGGATTATCAAACTGGTTGGACAAAGGAGCCCCATTAGGAGAGCTGAGAGTATCTTGAAAGCATTTATGTATGTGAACATGTGCAAGATCTTTGAAGGCAATCTCAACAAGCATAAATTGGAGGAAGGGCCTACTCAGTAGTTATGTTTTGTGGCAGTATTTGATGCAGGCAGTCACCTTTGTGGCAACGTGGCCTCACAAATTTCTAACTATGTAGATGGTTTTAATCTCTATTTGACTATTAAAAGTGTATTGCACACAGCTGCGGTAAAGGTATATATTACATTCATTTTTAACCAGGCAAAAAAGTATGGAGTATAGAAGCACAGTTGCGTCTGTCAACCAAATCTCAAATATCTCTGTACCACAGTTTATAGGTTCTTATACAAAATAAAATGGCTAGAGGTGGGAGCAAACTTTGATGAACACTTTCCAAAAGATACACATTTGTTCTTAAAGGGTTTATCAGGTTTGGTCTTTACTTCTGAGTAGTAACAGGGTTACTGTGGAAACCACCACAGTCTAGTAGGCATGGTCAAGTGGAGCCTAGTGCACCAGTCTGAATTTCAGGCTTGCAAAAGAATTAGCTTTTTTCCATTAAAAAAACTTAATTTGTGAAAAGCCTTTCAGTGCTCTTACCACTTAAAAGTCAGGCTTCAAATCCCTATCTATTCAGCCATGGTTGGCACTGAGCTAGATTTGCCACTAGGGGCGTGCCATTTGTTGCTGTTGTTCTGCTGTTTTGGGGTTTGTTTGTTTTTGCACACCTACATTTCACCCACAGTGGAAAGGCCTTTCTTCCAGACTGTCTCTGGCCTGTTTCCACTACAAAGAAGTAACTGTCCAGGAGGCTTCCCATAGAGCCTAATGGGCTGCAAGGCTGTAGCTCCCTGGGCCTGCCAGGAAGGTATGAGGCACTGTAGCGGGCACACTGAAGCCTCTATTATCTCAGGCCTCCAGGAGGTGCTCACTCTTCTTCTCAGTTGCTGCCACCAGTATTTCAATTTCAATACCAATTACTCAGTGAGACCAGTGTTACTTTAAAACTTAAACTTGTTTATTTGATCAGTAAAACATAATAAGTAAATCACAAGTTGATAATCAATTTCTCTCACTCACTGAACTCACTAACACACAGATCCTAACTCTCACTGACTTTCTGGCACACTGTCTCACAGACTCACAGATCTCTCCCCCATACCTCATACATACCCTTTTATATCCCATCCCCTCCCCCTTTTAGCACCACCTTCCGTTCCCTAATTGGCTGCTTTTCCACTGCTCAGCTGTGATGGACAGGTGAGGGCAGGGCTGAACGCTATAGGCACTTTTCCTCTAGCACAGGAAGTAGGCCTGAGAGAGCCTGGACGAGTGTCTTGTTCAAGGTGAGGGAAATACAGGTGTATTTCCTCTGGATAGGAACTCCCGGAATTCCATCTGAGGAATTATTGGAAAATCCCAGGTGAAAATGCCGCCTCTTATTTTCTCACAAGTTCTACATCTTTTTTAAAAGAAAACTATGGTGGATGTTTTTCATGTTGGGGAAAGGAATCTGGTCAGTGCAGATTATTGTGAAATATATTTGGTTTACTTTTTGTAAGTCACAGAGTTATTTCTAAATGGGATTGAAAGGATTTGAGATGTTTTTCGTTATGTGGAAGAAAGCAAAACAGGTTCATTCATTTGTAATAACATGCAACATTTGTTTTCCACATGCTCAAAAATCATCATCATCATCAAACTGCGCAGCTAGAAGGGACCCGACAGATCACTGAGCCCCAGCCTTGTCAAGGAGTCACAGTGGATAATTGAACTCCCAATCCTAAACCGCTCCAGATGCCTAAACTGCTGGGCTACTCAACAGTACTTGGACAACTGGTGCTTGGGGCTTTTGGAGTTTCATTTGGAGGGTCTAAGAGGCTGAATGAATTTAGAAGCCTGTGTTTTAAAAGTATAACAAAAACATATGGAATAAAATCATTGTTATAGGATAATAACAGCACACTGTATAAATTTTGAACATAACCAATAGATAACTTACAATATTCATAAAAGCTTCTGGATCCATAGCCCTTTTTGTTCTTATTGGTTCTTTGGAGTCAACAAGTCCTTGGAACAGATATACTGCGACAATGAATGGCCACATCCTGTTTCTGGGCAGCTTGATACAGTAATCCATTAACAATGCTATTCTGTTTAACATATTGAAATATAATTTGCTTGTAAATTGTACTGAAGGAAACAATTCTCAAAGCAGACAGATGTGAAACATAAAGCTGCGTGGAAGAAAGAGAAGGGGGAAAACTTGTACAGTTTATACATTTGCAGTTTTGTGCCGAATGAAGATACCACACTTTTTGGTCAACCTTTTAAAGGTACCATCTTAATATGTCTTTAAACTTTTGTTTTGCATCAATCTGGCTATCTCTGCTTTTGTTCAAAGCAGGAATAGACAAGTTTCAGGGACCAGAGGCCCCAAAGCTAGAGCCAAATGCAAAACTAAAGTATATATCCTCCAAACATTTTGAGGATTTTTTTTTCATGCCAAAATTTGGCACACACAGTTTGACTCCTTCTACATAAAAGTCCATTTTTAATTGCCCCAAGCTTTCTTCATGTTGGCATCCTTATTTTGGTGGGGGAAATTAACTTTATTGTTTATATTGTTAAACAACAGACTTAGTCTCCATTTACAGACAGTGCATGCAAGAGAGAGTTTGTGTTCTCAAAAAGATCTGTATATGGATTAAGTTGCATGCATAGCAGCAGAACCTCGTAAATGCTAGCTGAGTATGAACATCTCTTTTCAACTTTTATTTCTTATCCAGTGGGGGAAATTAACTTTATTATTTAGATTGTTAAACAACAGTCTTAGTCTCCATTTACAAACAGACAGTGCATGCAAGAGAGAGTTTGTGTTCTCAAAAAGATCTGTATATGGATTAAGTTGCATGCATAGCAGCAGAACCTCGTAAATGCTAGCTGAGTATGAACATCTCTTTTCAACTATGTCTTATCACTTCAATTAAAATAGCAAATTATTATGTGTGCTCATAAGAGGGATAGCCATCCATATTAATTTGTGATCTTATAGATGTTCGAGACAACTAACACAAGCTATTCAGAGAAAGAGACACAGAGAGAGAACACATACACATCAGATTTTTTTAAAAAATCCTGTTTTGCAACAAAATTAATTGTTATGTAACCTTTGCTGCTAGAAAGCCCCTTTTCATTCTTTTCTTTCATTACCTTTCATTATCTTAAAGAGGAATAAGATAAAATAAAAAGGAAAAGCCACCTCATTGCTCTGGCAGCTGGCAGCTACCCTTTTAATTTCTTACATCCTCTTAAAGATAGATACAAATGTTTCCAATGAATTGTAGACATGCGTTTTGTATTATTCATCCTTTGGCGCTTTTTATGCAATTCTCAGAGGTAGCACTAACCTGTTGCAGAGTTCATTGCCTCCACAGAGAAGTTCACATTACGGAAAGTTTTGACTTGACATTTATACCAGTCATGTTAAGATTAAAGCCATTAGATAAGTGGAACCAATCATATGTAGCCCTTCCCTCAGAATCTTGAAGTGCTTGTGACGAATATCCATTCATTTTGAACTCATCTCATTGTTCAGTCAGCTACTACTTAAGTTCAATAATATTGAAATGTAGCCATGGAAACGATACCCTAAATGACTGCTCCTTGAACTCTCACAGGTTGTTGTAAGTTTCGGGAGGGGGGGAATTAGCCTCTTTGCAGAGTTGAGTGGATGACTGAGGTGCTGAGGAGAAGGAATTTTAAATGCAAATAATACCTCACCTGACAGAGCTGTTATCAGAAACAAGCATTTTGCTTATCCAGTCCAGTCTGTTATTGTGGATTGCAAGGGAAATAACCCTCAAAGATTCAAGCTTCCATATGTTGTGTGTGACACCTGGAAATTTATATTCACTGGTGCAACTTGTCTCAAGATGTGAGAGAATTCTCAAGGTGTCAAGATTTGTTCCTTTAAGTGAACAATGGGTTAAATTTAATATTGTAGTGAGAATGCAAAGTCATGCCTGTAAACGTGGAGTCAATGGATGACTGATGGCATGCAGCTGGAACAAGCTTATGTAGTGCTTGATAACCACGTTCAGCTGCTATACCTGAGGTTATAGGCTGCTCTTGGAAGTTTCATTATCTAAATCTGACTCCAAGCTTCTGGAGAGGCAAGCACCACATCCGTCTTTGAAGTTGGACTCACACCAACACAAGGACCCACAGGATAGTGTCATCTAAAATCTGTTCCCAATTAAGTTTGAAGTCAAAGAATGGCAAATGTCAGTTTTGAGAACTGGCTGAGTTTTGGAAATACATGGAAAAAATATCTCAAATGATAATGAAAACAGAGGCAAACTTAAGCTTGTCTGTAGGTGACTTCCTCCCTGCAAAGAGCTTTTTATGTTTATGGAACATTCCCCCCCCCCCAAGTGTTCAGATTAGCTCTGATTTATGCTGGGTGAAGCAATTGTGTCAGGATGCAGATTTTGGGTGTCAGAAAAAGGAAACCATTTGTTACTTACAAAAGCCTGTTTGGTTTGGCTGTGCACAGACTCTCCACTGTACCTTTAAAAGAAAAGCAAACAAAACCTTCCCGGATTAAGCTTTCTGATTATCCTTTTTTTTTTTTAAAGGTGCTGTAGAGAGTATTCTCTGCCTCATATCAACTTAATTTTCCCCACTTCCTTGGCCCTCCACTGAGGTAAGGGAGCAATTAATTTGCCAATGTTGTGAAATGGGTGTCTTACTAAGCCACTTCACGATATTGGCACCCTCCACTGAGGTAAGGGAGCGATTAATTTGCCAATGTTGTGAAATGGCTGTCTTACTAAGCCACTTCACGATATTGGCAAATTAAAAGAAGCCTTGTTTTTGCTCCATTTCCAGTTATCACTCTTGTTGAAAATGAACCAAACTAGATGATCCTACCCACACCAAATGTTGTGGGTAGGAATGCTCTGAGGATATCTTCTCGAAGGCTTTCATGGCTGGGATCCAATGGTTGTTGTGGATTTTTCAGGCTGTTTGGCCATGTTCTGGAGATTTTTCGTCCCAAAGACTGGAAAAACGTTAGGAAGAAAAACCTCCAGAACACAGCCAAAGAGCCCGAAAAATCCACAACAACCAATGCTCTGAGGATAATTTGGTTCATTCCAGCAGCAATGTCATGTGATTGCTGTTAAAAGGAGCAAACCTATCCATTCCCACAACGATCAAAACAGTAGGCTAAATGTCAGTCTGATCACACCCTTAAGTTATATCCACAAGGGTTTGTTGCCTCTGACAAACATTAGCTCTGTTCTGCCTGTAATACAGATTTATCTATCTGAGCAGTGAACTGAACATACTCTTAAAGTATGAAGATAAGTAAACCAAACATATAGGGACCCTGTAACCTTTGAGAATCTGAGGTATATGGCTTTGACCTTGGAATGTTACACTCTCTTAGAAAAACGATTTGTCTGGGCTAGCCTCCATTGTCTTTGGTGGCCTTCATATGGCCAATGAAATTGGAATTTTCCTTTTTTCTTAAAAACTATTGTTCTTTCATGTATGAGTCAAAATAATTTTAAAACCCAGTTTAAGTAGCCTTGGGCAAGTAGCACAGTCCCAGAATGCTAAAAGAAGAAAGGAATGGTATACTACTTTGGAGTGCTTTATACCTTGGAATCCCTAGAAGTGGTTGCAGTTCACCAGTTCTTCTGGTAAGATTTAACAGTGTGTCATTAATTAAATGGACAGCAATTCATTCTGTCAGGATTTTTAAACTCTCCTAGGATGGAGAGAGGACAGTCCTCCATCTGTTGTCTTTTTTTTAAAATGATGCATGTCCTCCTTCTTGGTGACATTGAAATGGCCACCCCTACCACTCAGTGAGTTTCCCTGGCTGAGCAGGGAAAGCAGAGGGTTTGAGTGGTAAATGTATATAACAAACCCACTATGATTTTTTTTAAGTAAAATGATCCCGGGGGGGGGCTCATTTTGTTAAAAGAGATGCAGACCACACATACTGATGAATGGCAGGAAGGATATGGCATGGCATATTAGTTCTGAACAAACTTGAGAAGCGAGATCAAGTGCCAGCTGTGGACATTCTGAAAGCACTGTTCAGACTATTCTTCTGACATAACAGATTGTTAGCTAGCTAGATATTTCAACAAAACTACAGTGAGCTGTTCATTTTTCTTACTCTGTATATTCATTTTCAGTAAAGTGTAAAAAATATAGGGTACAGAGCATGTCAAAGAGTTTACACTATTTATTTATTTGATTTATATCCCATCTTTACCAATGCTGTGTCCCAAGGTAGTTATCTAGTCACCGTCTTGCACAATATAGTGGGCAGTAGAGATGGACACTGCTGAACCAGTGGTTTGTGGCGGTTTGTTTTTCAACTGAACAGGTATTCAGCCCCATCTCCTCCAACAAGCACCAACTTGGAGGCAGTACCTGGGGAGGCAGGGCAGAGAAGCACTGAACGCCTGTTCGGCCAAAAAATGAGACAAAGCAGAGGGAACTGGTACATTCACTGGTGGCAAAAGCACAAATGGGAGACTGAGTCTCAAAGATGTATAAAAATACTGGCAATGCAGATTTTATTATCTAAAAAAACTCAGGCTCAATGCATTTCAGCGATGGCCTTCTTCAGGGACTAAGCATTAAATAAATAAATAAATAAATAAATGAATGAATGAATGAATGAATGAATGAATGAATGAATGAATGAATAAATAAATAAATAAATAAATAAATAAATATAACATTGGTAAATAAATAAATATATATACCAATATATAAAAGATTGGGACATTAGACCTGTAGTCCCCTTTTCAGCCATTTCACAGAACCTAGCTAGACAATAATAGATTTAATATTCTGGGTCATGGATATGGTTTCTGTTAAGTTTGAGAGGTCCTTATTGAGAAGGAGAATCGATTGGATATTGAGATGTAACGCTTTAATTTATGATAAATTGTTTTTAATGTCATATCACTGATTCTTGTATGTGCAATTTTTGGTCCTCGTGTTAATGTTTAGCTTGGAAGGGTGGAATGTAACATTGGCATCATTTGATATTTATCGGGCTAATCCCCCCCCCCGAAAAATGCCCCATATAAAAGAAGAAGACTTAAGCTTAATAAAAAGTTAGTCATCACATTTCTTTCATAATGTCTAATTCTTGAACAAACATTTTGAGTCATCTGCTTAAGGACAAGAAATAATAGTCGATACAGATATTTCTTCATACTTTGGACCAGCAGAAAAGCAAACTTTGATAATATTACTATTTCAACTGTTTTAGAAAAAGAGGTTGACAAGGGTAGGGCTAGAAAGAGAGAGAGAGTCAGAGTAGCACAGCAGGTATCCTGGCATCCTGCCATCTGAGACAGCTGCCTCATTCTGCCTAATGACAGGGCCAATTTCAAAGAAGCAATTCATTATGGTTCTTTTTTCTTAACAATCTTGCTGAAGCAGACAGGAGTACAATTCTGTACATGCATAAAAGCTTTAATGACATAACTATGTAGATTGTCAAAGAAAGGAAGGGACTCTTAACCTTTGAAACTTTCAAACTTTGAACATGATGTTTTGTCTCACATATGACAATTTCAAAACAGTTTCCTGAAAACCTTATTTGCAGTTGATCAGATTATTCTTGCATGTTATGACTGTAATCTAGAATTGCACCTCATGTGTACTTTGCTTAAAATATCACATTGACATTCTACTGATACCATTGTGATAACCTGCACACTTAGCTTTAAGTTTCAGCTTTCTGATAAACATCTTTCCCTTACTTCTCAGGGAGGGGAAGGTACTTCCGAGTTTTGTTGAACAAATACAGTAGGATATTTGCATTCAAGTCTCAGTGCCAAGTGCCATCTTCAGGTGGTGTGATCCATGTTGGAGTTTTTGCAACCTTGCATGGGGCCTCTAGTAGGTGTGGCTGAAAGGAACATTTCTAAGATGGGGTGCTTGTGGATCTATCTAGCAGTAACCAATTGTTCCATCTCTGCCTCTGAACTCAAAGAGAGCCCTGCCACTCGGCTCTGCTTCTTTTCCCTTTCTTTAGTATGTTGGAAGCAGTCAGTCAGTCTGTTGAAGCCTGTTGCTCAAAGCAGTCATGTTTTTAGCTTGCTGTTATGTGTTCACTGTAAGTAAATGAAACCTTTCATTTTTTGTACTACTAACGTCAGAGTGAATTATTGAGACTGTAAATGCCAGTTAATGAGAAAAAGGGGTGGTCTGCTCTAGAAAACTTGAAACTCTGCTGCTCTGAGAAAAAATGGGTGACCTCCTGTATATGATGAAGGTTCTACACTATTCAGAGAGCCTACGGACAGTGAGTAACCTTCTTGCTTCCCCACTAAGAGTGCATTGGCAGAGGATGTACACAGTCATCTTTTTAGAATTCTTTTTCCAATTATATAGTTAGTCCACCATTTTCCTCCTGCTTTAATATGAGAAG